AAAACTAGTTCCTCCCCATGTGATCCCAGAAGTGTGCATAACAGGTGGCATGTAAGCTGGTTTATACTTTAAAAAAATTTTTTTTGAGACAGAATTTCACTTTGTCACCCTTGGTAGAGTGTCGTAGCATCATAGCTCACAGCAATCTCAAACTCTTGGGCTCAAGGCTCTTACCTCAGCCTCCCAAGTTCCTGGGACTACTAGTACCCTCCACAACACCCAGCTATCTTTAGAGATGGGGTCTCCCTCTTGCTCAGGTTGGTCTCGAACCTGTGAGCTCAGGCAATCCATCTGCCTCAGCCTCTCAGAGTGCTCTGATTACAGGCATGAGCCACCACACCCAGCTGGTTTAAAGTTTTCTATTTTGAGACAGAGTCTTATTATGTCACCCTCAGTAGAGTGCCGTGGCTCACAGCTGCCTCAAACTCTTGGGCTTAAGTGAATTTTATCAGAATGATATGCTAGTCTAATGATTGATTTACTTACTTTATCCCCTTTGAAAAATGTAATCTTGGCTCGGCGCCTGTAGCTCAAGGGACTAAGGCGTCAGCCACGTACACCAGAGCTGGCAGGTTCAAATCCAGCCCAGGCCTGCCAAACAACGACAACCACAACCAAAAAATAGCCAGGCGTTGTGGCAGGCACCTGTGGTCCCAGCTACTTGGGAGGCTGAGGCAAGAGAATTGCTTAAGCCCAAAGAGTCTGAGGTTGCTGTGAGCTATGATGGCACAGCACTCTACCCAAGGTGACACCCTGAGGCTCTGTCTCAAAAAAAAAAAAAGCAATCTTGCAAGTATCTTGAAATCACGTCATGTATGTCCTATAATATGTTCTTTTATTTTCAAGATTGCTTTAGACGTGCTAAGTTCATGCTTTATCATATAAATGTTACAATCACCTTGTCAATTCCTACCAAAAAAAGTCTTGAAGATTATGATTGGAATTGCTTTGAATCTATAAAATTAACATTTTTATAATACTGAGTCTTTCCATTCCCCACATGGTATCTCTCCATTTATTTAGTTCATTCTCTTAGTAATGTTCCATGGTTTTCAATGCAGAGGTCTCGTATGTGGTACACGTTTTTTTTTTTTTTTGAGACAGAGCCTCAAGCTGTCCCCCTGGGTAGAGTGCCGTGGCATTACAGCTCACAGCAACCTCCAACTCCTGGGCTCAAGGGAGTCTCCTGCCTCAGCCTCCCAAGTAGCTGGGACCACAGGCGCCCACCACAACGCCCGGCCATTTTTTGGTTGCAGCCGTCGTTGTTGTTTGGCGGGTCTGGGCTGGGGATTCGAACCTGCCACCTTAGGTGTACGTGGCTGGCGCCTTAGCCGGTTGAGCCACAGGTGCCGAGCTGTGGTACACGTTTTATCAAATTTATTTCTTAGTATTTTATGTTTTTTTGACACTACACTAATTAACTTACCAATTTTTTTGCTCCTAGTATATAAAAATAATTCACTTTTTAATATTAACTTGTGGTCTCACTGTGATCTTCACTTATTACTTTGAATACCTGTTGCCTTGGTTCCTTAGGATTTCTTTCCTTTTTTTTTGAGGCACAGTGTTACTCTGTCACCCTGGCTAAAGTACAGTGTCATCATCATAGCTCACAGCAACCTCAAACTTCTGGTCTCAAGTGATCCTCCCGCCTCAGCCTCCTGAATAGCTGTGACTAGAGGTGCACGCCATTACAACTGAAAATTTTTTCTACTTTTTATAGAGATAGGGTGACTAGGATTATAGGCATGAGCCACTGTGCCTGGCCTACTAAGAATTTTTTAACATGAATGGATATTAAATTGTATGATATACTACTTCACTACTTGCTCAGAGTGGTCTCAAAGTCCTGATCTCAAGTGATCCTCCTGCCTTGGCCTCCCAGAGTGTTAGGATTATAGGTGTGAGCCACTGCACATGGCCAGATTCCGTAAGATTTTCTATGTATACAATCATCACATCTCCAAATATGGACTTTTATGTCTTCTTTTTGAACTTTATTTTTCACATTTATTTTTCTTATTGTATTAGCTAGGACCTTTAATATAATGTTAAATAGATGTGGAAAACACCACTTTAATTGAACAGTAAAAAAAAAAAAGATGTGGGCATCTTTGCCATGTTTCTAATCTATGTGAAAAATTCTTCAATCAGGTATCAGTATGCCCTTTTTTTTTTTTTTAAAGCAGGTGTCCTTTATAAGGTTAAGGAAGTTCCCTTCAATTTCTTGTATGCTAAGAGTTTTTTTTTTTTTCTTTGAGAAAGAGTTTCACTTTGTCACCCTCATTAGAGTGCCATGGTGTCATAGCTCATAGCAACCTCAAACTCTTGGGCTGAAGTGATCCTCTTGCCTCAGTTTTTCATTTTAGTAGAGATAGGGGTCTCGTTCTTGTTCAGGCTGGTCTTGAACTCCTGAGCTCAGTCAATCCACCTGCCTCAGCCTCCCAGAGGGCTAGGATTATAGGCATGAGCCACTGTGCCTGGCCTACTAAGAATTTTTAACATGAATGGATATTAAATTGTATGATATACTACTTTACATCTATGAAGATGACTGCTATGGTTGGAACATTTTTCCCCTCCAAAACTCATGTTAAGCCTTAATCCCAAATGTGGCAGTATTAAGTGGAGTCTTTATGAGGTGATTGGGTCATGAGGGCTTTGCTCTCATAAATGGATGGTTCAATTTATGGATTAATTGATAGATTAAAAGATTATCATGGAAGTTAGACTGTTGACTTTTTAAAAGAAAGAGAAAGGGCTGGGCGCTGTGACTCATGCCTGTAATCCTAGCTTTCTGGAAGGCCGAGGTGGGTGGATAGCTTGAGCTTACAGATGCCAGACCAGCCTGAGTCAGAGAGAGACCTGGTCTCTAAAAATAGCTGGGCCTTGTGGCGGGTGCCTGTAGTCCCGACTACTTGGGAGGCTGAGGCAAGAGAATCACTTGAGCCCGAGAGTGAGGTTGCTTTGAGCTATGATACCATAGCACTCTACCAAGGGCGACAAAGTGAAACTCTGTCTCTAAAAAAAAAAAGAGTTCTGAGCCAGCACATTCTCAACCCCCCTGCCATGTGATACCCTATGCTGTTTATCAGCAAAAAAGCTCTTACCAGATATGGCCCCTTACCTCACAGCCTCCGTAAGTGTAATAAATTCCCTTTATAAATTACTTATAATTTCAGATATTCTGTTATAAGCAATAGGAAATGGTCTTTCTCATTTTTTCTGTTAAGATGGTGAATTATATACTACTATGTATTGTTAAACCAGGCTTGCATTGATTAAAAGGGGTAAGCCCCACTTGGTCATCAATTTTTTTTTTTTTTTTTTTGAGACAGAGCCTCAAGCTGTCCCCCTGGGTAGAGTGCCGTGGCATAGCTCACAGCAACCTCCAACTCCTGGGCTCAAACGAGTCTCCTGCCTCTGCCTCCCAATTACTGGGACCATAGGCACCCGCCACAACGCCTGGCTATTTTTTTTCAGTTGCAGCCATCATTGTTGTTTGGCGGGCCTGGGCTGGATTCGAACCCGCCACCTTAGGTGTATGTGGCTGGTGCCTTAGCCACTTGAGCCACAGGCGCTGAGCCTTGGTCATCAATTTGTATGTCACTAGATATTATTTGTTAATATTATTTTTAAATTCTGCAGTATATAGGTGAAATAAATGGGTTTATACTTTTTCTTTTGGTAATTTCTTTGTCAGGTTATGGTATAAGAGTTAATCTTGCCTCATAAAATGGGTTGAGAAGTGTCCCTTTTCTGAAGGAATTTTGTAATATTGCTTCTATTTCTTTCTTAGATATTTAGTAGAATTCACCAGTGAAACCATTTGGACCTAAAATATTCTTTGTAGAAAATTTATGATAATTATAATTCAATCACTTTAGACACAAGGTTATTCATTTTCTTCTTTATCTTGTATTTTTTAAGGACTTTTTCTGTTTCATTTAAGTTGCTGAATTTACTGGCATAAAGTTATTTATGGCATTTACTTCCATGAATTGAATTGGCTACATGATGTGAAGTAAAAATCCCTCTTTCCTTCTTGATATTAGTAATTTATGTATTTTCTCCTTTTATCTTGATCAATCAAGCCAGGTGTTTACCATCTTTGTTGGTAATTATAAGAAATCAGTTTTTGACTTCATTAATTTTTTCTTCTTTTCTTTTTCTATTTTGTTGATTTCTGTTTATTTTTTGAGACAGAGTCTCAAACTGTTGCCCTGGGTAGCTCGTCATAGCTCACAGCAACCTCCAACTCTTGGGCTCAAGTGATCCTCTTGCCTTAGTTTTTTTCTATTTTTAGTAGAGATGGGGCCTTGCTTTTTGCTCAGGCTGGTCTCGTGAGCTCAAGCAATCCACCTGCTTCAGTCTCCCAGAGTGCTAGGATTACAGACCTGAGCCACCTTGCCTAGCCTAGCTCTTATATTTATCAGTTTTTTCATCTTAAGAACAGTTTCTCTCTCTTAAGTGGGAGTGAAGTATGAGAGACAAGAAATTGCATTGTAATCAAATTATAATCAAGGTCAATATGAAGTTATTTTGTTAGTCCAGGCTTAAAAGATCTTAATTTGCTTCAGGTCTCAAGCTTTTCTTTCATAAGCCATGGGCTTTTTTTTTTTTTTTTGAGACAAAGTCTCACTATATCACCCTTGGTAGAGTGCTGTGGCATCACAGCTCACAGCAACCTCAAACTCCTGGGCTCAAGGGATTCTCTTGCCTCAGCCTCCCAAGTAGCTGGGACCACAGGTGTCTGCCACAATTCGGGGCTATCTTCCTTTTGTGCAGTTGTCATTGTTGTTCAGCTGGCCCGGGCCGGGTTCAGACCTCCAGCCTGGGTATATGTGGCTGGCACCCTACCCACTGAGCTATGGGCACCACCAGGCTATGGGCTTTTGAAGAGAGATCTGCTACGACATCTCAAGGGTGGGACTCCACCCTAACCAGTTTAGCTACAACCTGCAGTAATGATTGCTTTATACCTCTCAGCTGTCACTCACCTGGGCAGTATCTTCTTGCCCCTTCCCTCACAAGCATCCCAGGTTCCTTCCCTTCTTCATCCAATGACGTAATCATATCTGGTTTAGAAATGGAAGATCCTGCTTAAAATTAAAATGTGACATGAAACTATAAATCCCAGTGTTCTTGGATTCAGATTTGGTTAACATTTATCATTAAGTACAAATCAAAATAGTACTTTATAAAGCCTAAGAGCAAAGGAGCTGAAGGACATTCATATTAGACCACAAAGAATAGATAGCAGATGTTTAAGAACAGGCTTTAATATAATTTAACCTCATGCAGGCTCTGCTGAGAGGCAGTTTTATGTAGTGGTTGAGAACACGGACTGGCTCAGTCGTAAGCCTGCCTGGCTCCGAATCTTGACTCTTTTGCTATTACTTCAGCAAACTATTAACCCCTTGTGCCTAAGTGTTCTCATCTGAAATGAGTGTAATAACAGTACTTTCTCATAGAGTTGTAAGGGTTAATTAATGATGAACAATGCTCAGAATAGCATCTAAGCACAACTACATATGATAACATGTCCATATACACAGATGTGTATATTACCTACTAATTTTTGTTATCATTTTGCTGAACGGGTAATAAGAGGCTTTCTGAAACATTCTCAGATCTTTTCTAGGATATTCATTCACTGTTAAATGCAAACTTTTTTTTTTGAGACAGAGTCTCACTATATCACAGCAACCTCAAGCTCTTGGGCCTAAGCAATTGCCCTAGCCTCACAAGTAGCTGGGACCACAGGTGCCCACCACCATAATGCCCGGCTACTCTTCTGTTATAGTTGTCATTATTGTTTAGCAGGCCCAGGCCAGTTCAAACCCGCCAGCTCTGGTGTATGCAGCCAGCGCCCTAGCTGCTGACCTACAGGCACCGAGCCTAAATGCAAACTTCTCAGATTTTAACTTTCAATTGCAAAGCAGATAGAACTGAGTATGTCTGTTATAGGAAACAGAATGCGTTTACTTGATGATCCATCCACATATATATCCTACAGATGCCTTTGATTTTTAGAGAAACTCAGAACCCCAGAGGGATTATCAAGGAGTATGAAGCATTCATATAAATTCTGAGTTCATATACAATATGAAATTTGGTTTTTTGGAGCATGCTTTTGCCATATCCAAATCCAGTCTCTTGTATGTTAAAGAAACAAGGAATAACAGAGTCCGAAGAAAGTCTGAAGGACACAGCAGATGTTAAATGGAAGGACCTATTTCCAACCTAATGAAACGATTCCTTTGAGAACAGAGAGTAAAAATTTAGCTAGCTTCTCTAAATACAGTCCTAAACTTGACAGTAGAGAAAAGCCAGTATCATTTGGAATCAATAACCTTACCTAGTGAGATGAAGTTGCTATAGTTCTCCCACATTACATCCCTATATAAGTCCCTCTGAGCAGAATCCAGGAATTCCCATTCTTCCTGTGAGAAGTCTATGGCCACATCCCTGAATGTCACTGAACTCTGAAAAAATAAACTCAGGTATTACTTGTAAAAAATAACACATAAAAAAAGAAATTAAATATGTTTAAAGTGGAAAGAGAGGCAATTACGGAAATCATTATAGAGAGGAACCCATATAGCATGCAAATAGTGCAGGGCTGGAGACCTGTGGCATGAGTAAGGAAAAGTAAAATTTGTATCTTTGAAGCAGAGTACCTATTCTTTCTTTTTTTTTTGAGACAGAGTCTCACTATGTCACCCTTGGTAAAGTTCTGCGGCTTCATAACTCACAGCAACCTCAAACTATTGGGCTTACGTGATTCTCTTGCCTCAGCCTTCCAAGTGGCTGAGACTATAGGCACCCACAACAATGCCCAGCTATTTTTTGGTTGGAGTTGTCATTGTTGTTTAGCAGGCCCGGGCTGGGCTCGAACTTGCCAGTCTCGGTGTATGTGGCTAGTGCCCTACTCACTGAGCTATGGGTGCTGAGCCATCATCAAATCATTCTATTTTTTTTAAACAGAGTCTCAAGCTGTCTCCCTGGGTAGACTGCTGTGGTGTCATAGCTCACAGCAACCTCAAACTCTTGGGCTTAAGGGATCCTCTTGCCTCAGCTTCCCAGATAGCTGGGACTACAGATGTCCACCACAACACCTGGCTATTATTTGGTTATAGTTGTCATTGTTGTTTGGTGGGCCTGGGCTGGATTTGAACCTGCCAGCTCCCGTGTACGTGGCTAGCACCCTAGATGCTTGAGCTACAGGGGCTGAGCCCATCACTTCATTACTGATGTCTTGTACTGACAATCTTTTTCTGATCAGCTCCTATTCCCCCTACTGATGCCCTAAAAATTATGAGCTAGCCAAATAACTAACACTGGACAGATGAAATTAATAGCAATTTATTAGTCACATATACTTACAACCAGAAGGAGGACATCACGCATCATGCAGGGCCATAAAGGGGTAAACTCAGCAACAGAGTGAAGAATCAGGGGCTTGTGGGAGACTGGCTTTATAGTAATAAGTGGGTGAGGTATTTCCTGGTCCCCACGGTAGGATGTGATTGACTTGTTGGTGGGGAGGTAAAATCCACGTTGAGGACCAAGACTGTGTACCTGGTCCAGATGATGGCAGGAGAGCTAGCTGGATAGGAACACTTTCTGCCCCATGAGGGGTATGAGGTGACAGCAGAGGAATTCACGGTGTAAAGGCATCACATGAAATTTTAGGCCCCAATTACATCCCTACCTAATCCACCCAATCCTAAAAGCCTTACATAAGATCTCAACACACACAGAAATTGAGATCAGTCAGCACTGAATCCCATCTTATATTGAAAAACTCAAATATGTGAAGTTTAGAGTTTTCTCTGTAAGTGGTCAAATAGGATCAAATTCTGTCTCTAATCATCAAACCATTTATCTTTCAGCAAAGCTCAAAACAGGGAGCTCTCATTCAACATTAGTAATCCATCTTGAAGACATGCTAGTCGCAGCTATTCAGGAGGCTGAAGCAGAAGGATCACTTCAGCCCAGGAGTTGGAGACTACAGTGAGCTCTGATCATGCCACCACTGCTCTCCAGCAAGATTGTATCTCAAAAATAAAATATGTGAGCACTCCAATTTGTACAAATAATCAACACATCGAATCCCACAAAGGCATAAATGTATTCATGATCTATGTATATACAACTTAATAAAAAAAATAAAATAGGGTGGTGCCTGTGGCTCAAAGAAGTAGGCCACCGGCCCCATATGCTGGAGGTGGCACATTCAAACCCAGCCCCAACCAAAAAACTGCAAAAACATAAAAAACAAAATAAAATAAAAGAGCAAGTCATTAATAAATAAGATAAAATAAGTAAATAAAGGCCAGGAGTGGTGGCTCATGCCTATAATCCTAGCACTCTGGGAGGCTGAGGCAGGTGGATTGCCGAGCTCACAGGTTCCAGACCAGCCTCATCTCTAAACATAGCTGGGTGTTGGGCAGCACTCATAGCTCAGTGAGTAGGACATCAGCCACATACATGGAGGCCGGCGGGTTTGAACCCAGTCTGGGCCAGCTAAAGCAACAATGACAACTGCAACAACAACAACAAAAAATAGCCGGGTGTTGTGGTGGGCACCTGTGGTCCCAGCTACTTGGGAGGCTGAGGCAAGAGAATCACTTAAGCCCAAGAGTTTGAGGTTGCTATGAGCTGTGATGCCACAGCACTCCACTGAGGGTGACATAGTGTGACTCGGTCTCAAAAAAAAAAAAGTAGCCAGGTGTTGTGGCAGGTGCCTGTAGTCCCAGCTACTTGGGAGGCTGATGCAAGAGAATCAATCACTTGAGCCTAAGAGTTTGAGGTTGCTGTGAGCTATGACACCCAGGGTGTCAAAGTGAGACTCTGGGTAGATGGCACTCTACCCAGGGTGACAAAGTGAGACTCTATCTCAAAAAAAAAAGTAAAAAGACATTCTAACACCACATTACTAACCAGGTACCTATTTTCCCATCATTTTAAATCAGAGAATTATAACGTATTATATATCAATTCTATCCCTCCAACTAGCTTGGAGGAAACAACATTTTCTTCCAAGATAGAATTACAGAGTACACAGTGGGTTGGTACACACACAGTACCTTTGGCTTTAGTATTTTTTTTTTTTTTTTGCGACAGAGCCTCAAGCTGTCCCCCTGGGTAGAGTGCCATGGCATCACAGCTCACAGCAACCTCCAACTCCTGGGCTCAAGCGAGTCTCCTGCCTCTGCCTCCCAAGTAGCTGGGACTACAGGCGCCCACCACAACACCCGGCTATTATTTGGTTGCAGCCATCATCGTTGTTTGGCAGGCCCGGGCTGGATTCGAACCTGCCACCTTAGGTGTATGTGGCTGGCGCCTTAGCCGCTTGAGCCACGGGTGCCGAGCCTGGCTTTAGTATTTTTATGATCTTTTATTAAATTCATTTTTTTCATTTGCTTACTTTCTTTATCCACAATTTTCTTCAATATTTTTCCAACCTTTTAGATAAAAACAAGGGCTACTTGTTCCATAAGAAGTGCCACAAGAACACAATGGCAGAAATGCGGCACACTCGGCACGAGGCTCTGATGCCTCCTTTATTACCAGCACGCCAGACACGTACACCCTTCAATGATACTTACATAGACTTCAAAACATGTACACATGGGTCCAATGGTCTAGCAATTGTATTTGGAATTTAACATCTTCCTGGATGTTGTTTATGTTAAACAAAATTTTTATTGAACTATATGATTTCATTTAAATAAAGCTCTAAAAATAAGCAAAATTAATTTATGGTGTTTGAAGTGAGGATGATGGTTACAGCTGGGAAGGATGGGTGGGGAGTGGCTGGGGTGCTCACACTATCCCTTCCTTAACTTGATAGCACACATATACTCAATTTATGAAAAGTCGTTCAGTTGTACATTTATGGTTCGTATATTTTTCTGTATATATGTCACACCTAAATAAAACAATTCAGGAACTTTTGTAAAATGTCATATTGTATATTGGGAACACAAATCTTTCCTACAACAAACTAGATGAAAAAATCATATTGAGAGAAATATACTTTCTGTAGAGGTTAAGTGTTAAAATCAAAATCCATTGGAAAATGTTAATGGAGGGCCACCATGCAGAGAATGCCTGCAGTTGTCTCATCGCATTTCACTTTTGCTCCCTTCTGGCCCTTAACAGATTTTGTACATGGGAAATATTCAAAATCAGCGGAAAAAGAGAAAGGCACACAATAGACTACAACAGACACAACAGTGGGCTATCTGTCCCCACTGTTCACAAGAATGAGAGGAACTAAAGCAGGTTCCTAGATGGAATTCTGCTAAAGAGGAAATTTCTGAATAAGGAACAAATACACGTATATAAAACTGACAGTATGTCAAAAGGAGAGAGAAACATTAACTTACACGGGCCATGGTTTTAGAATTGTAAGAAATGGTCAGTTTTTTTTCAAGACTTTTCTATTGGAGCTCTATAGAATCCAGACAAGTCAGAGCTGAAAGAAGAAAAAGAAACCATGAAATCAGATATACTGCAGTCTCAAAATGACTTACGTTAATATGAACTTTTTCTTCTCATTCATTCTGCTTCCAAACTACTCTCCAGCACTATAGCCACACCTGTCCCACACCTACATAAACTGGAGGAGAGTATAGGAAGTCTGCAGAAATACAAGTGCTACAGCGGGGCATTGTGGCTGGGGTCTATAGTCCCAGCTGCTTGGGGGGCTAAAGCAAGGGGATCAATTGAGCCCAAGAGTTTGAGGTCACTGTGTGCTATAATGATGCCACAGCACTCTACCCAGAGTAAGAGACAGAGTAAGACTCTGTCTCAAAAAAAAAAAAAAAAACAAGCCCTGAACAAACCCAGCTGGGCAGTGATGACCTCGGCGTAGAAGCGCAGGTACTTCTGCAGGAGGATTTGTGACAGGCCCCCATCTGGCAATGAGGATCTGGTCCTCACAGATTATGTAGACTTGTCCTGAGCAGGTCCTCCTCACTCCAGTACAACTTTTCAGGGCTGTGATGGGACCACAACATCCATATAGAGACTCCTAAGAGCCCTCAGGATCCTGCCTCAACTTCCTAAATACAAAGGCTAAAAGACTACACAGATTGATTCTGGCAGCTTCTGTCCCCTCTAGGCTGCACTGGCCTTTCCCCAGCCAAGAAAACTCACCACTCCAGTTTTCCAGTCAGGACCTGTCAAACCATGACATCCTTCACCATCCCTTCTCTTTTGGTATCCAAGGTGGAAGGAAGAGATTCACAATCCCTGTAGTCAACGACATTCAATGAGACCTTTGATATGACAGGTGCTACCTACACATTGTCAACTGACCCTCAGTACTGTTTTGCACTGTAGTTCACTTTTTTTCAATAGCTCAGGAAACTGATGCTCAGGGATCAGTTAAGTGGCAGGCTTTTGTTAGAAATCCACATTTCTCTAACTAACAGGACAGTTCTCTTTCAAGTCTGGTTTTTGCCTCTGAGGACAGAATTTCTCTCTACTTCACTGAGAGAAATTTGAGCATGGACAATCACTAAAAAACAGAAATAACTAACAACCTTTCAAAAAATACTAAATCTCAGAAGATGGTGGAATCATTTTCTCTCTAGCAATTGTTCCCCTATGAAAACATTAATTTGAACAAATACCTTTAAACAAAAATACCTTTGTAAGAGCTAAGGCAACCAGGTGAGAGATCACCATACCTGGTGATAATAACAAGAACTAACAATCATAAGAAAAGACGCATTGAAGAAGGTAGAAAGGACAGTTTGACATTACCCATGTCACCTGTTCTATCATCCCAGGGAGCACAGTGGGGACAGATATTATCCACTTAGGAAAAGACAGGGAAGTGAGCACAGAAATTTGCTTTGTTCCATAGTATCAGGCCCACCACAGCAAAACCCAGTACCAGGCAGAACCCTGTGACTCCAGACATCAGGATAGTACCCACAAACTGAGCCTCCAGACCCAACTCAGCACTAGACAGATCGTGCCACCACAACCCAACTTGGGCAAGAGAATAAGACCCTATCTCAAAATTCAAAAACAAAAAAAGTAGGCTGGGTGTGGTGGCTCTTACCTATAATCCTAGCACTCCGGGAGGCCAAGGAGGGTAGATTGCTTGAGCTCAGGGGTTCAAGACCAGCCTGAGCAAGAGTGAAACCTAGTCTCTAAAAATAGCCAGGTATTGTGACGGGCACCAGTTGTCTCAGCTATTTGGGAGGCTCAGGCAAGAGAATCACTTGAGCCCAAGAGTTTGAGGTTGCTGTGAGCTGTGATGCCGCAGCACTCTATCAAGGGTAACAAAAAAAGAAAAAAATTACAGTAACAGCCAACACCACTCACAACCACATTAAACAGAGTGTGAACTTGAAATACTCAAATTCTCCAAATAAGAAAAATATTTTCCCAGTTCAAATTTTTCTTTCAGTCTTCCCTTTAACTGAGTAAAAAAGTTAAGGATATTGAAAAAACAGATGCTGTCTTTCCTAAGTGGCTATTTTCACTTGAGCTTCCCATTCATGAACCAATTCTATGATTTAATTTGTCCACATACGTTGGAGTACTGCCTAGAAAAGAATGGCAAGAGGTCCCTGACTAATGACTTTTCAGCACTGAAAGCATCTCACGGCTGCTTCCTTTCACATCTTCCTGACAAGTGGGTTTATTTTGGCTTCTGAACCAAAGGGGTTTATTTTGGCTTCTCAGTCCTTTTAACTGAGATGCCTATGAAGTCTTCCAATAGCTGCTGAATCTTCTTGTCCGACTAATCTCATTTTGCATATGATATAGCTAAAAAAAAAAAAAACCTGTAAGGCATAAATCCTACTGTATGAAATCCATTTATCTCCATAAAGACCTCACAGCTGCAGTATAATCTGGACATAACTTGACAGTGATTGATATTTCTTCCCTTCACCATGATTGATTATTGGGCAAACTTGAAAGGATTTTTTTTTAGCATACATCACAATGAGATTTGGTCTACTACTTTTATTACTAATACATCCTTTGCTGTCAGACTTCCAGGACAGAAATCTTAGCTGTGGGCTGGCATTCTTCCTTTCTTCTTATGGGGTGCTGCACTATTCTCTTGCTCCTTTTCTCTCCCTCCCATCTTCTCCTCTCTTACTCCCTGCTCTCTCTTCTCATCTCTTTCCCCTAACTCTCTTACCTTTCTCTAATATAAAATAAACTTATACTTTTATATCCTAAAAAAAAAAAGAGAGAAATCTCAGCTCTGATACATCTTAACTGTGGAATCTTAGATATGTTACTTTTCAGATACTTAATTTCCTCCTATATAATATGGTGATCAAAGGGTTGTTATAAGGATTAAATAAGGTACAATCCATAAAGCAATTCAAGTAGCAAATAAGCATTTAATAACCATCAGCTATATCACTGAAGATGAAGAATACTATGGAATTATCAAAGAAAACTTTTTTTTCTTCCATAACAATAACAACAAAAAAGGCTTCTCAGCCTTTCTCTTTCTTATAAAGCTAACTAACAAATTTCAAAGCATTACCCTGGTAGGCAATTCTTGACTGTCAGCAACTTACAAAAGGAGATATATAGGTAAATAAAGCAAATACAGCGAAATACTCCTAATTGTGGGATCTGGGTGATGAAGAAAAATATTGAATTACAACCTAACAGTAACAACTCTATTGAGCACTTGCTACATGCTAAACATTTTCTAAGGGTTTTACATATATTACTTCATCTACTCAGAGCAATCTTATACAGTAGGTTCTATCATTACTCTCATTTAAGAGATGATAGAAATGTGTGGCACAAAGAGATGAAACCAAATGCCCCAAGCTCACCCAGGTCTAAATGGTAGGTTTGTGATTAGAACTCTGATAATTTATCTCCAACACCCATACTGCTGTCACTATACTAAACTGCTTTTGTACGACCACATAGACATGTGGCCTGAAACAAACTCATGCTGTCAAAATCTTCATGCTTTTTAAATTTCTGCTGTCTTTCTTTTTAATAATCCCTTCTCAGGTTAACACAGATCTCCATACTTAAAATTCTATCACATTACCACTCTTTTTGTTTGTTTTTTGAGACAGTCTCACTATGTCACCCTTCGTAGAGTGCTGTGTCGTCACAGCTCACAGCAACCTCAAACTCTTGGGCTAAAGCCATTTCTCTTGCCTCAGCCTCCCAAGTAGCTGGGACTACAGGCACCTATCACAACGCCTGGCTAATTTTTGTTGCATTTGTTGTTGTTGCTTAGCTGGCCTGACCAGGTTCGAACCCACTAGCCTCAGTGTATGGGGCTGGCACCGTAATCACTGAGCCACGGGAGCCAAGTCCACATTACCACTCTTTAAAACCTCAGAAGCAGAAGATCCTGTCACCAAACTATCTCCCATCTTTCCCTGCTTCTGAACTCACAGGACAGTGGAAATCAAAGAGACCTAGTGTGTGATTCCATCTAAACGATAATCTCCTTAACAAATCACCACCTAAAATAAAGCTCTGCAGTTAGCCTCTCTTCAAGAGGTTTACTTGCAGACTGCTCAAATAATCAGAAAGAAGCAGCTCACACAAGAAATTAAATGATTGTCAAATATTCCTGTTAATACCCACTGGAAGGCTGGGGGATGTGGTGTCTACCCTTATCACCCTAGGCAAGGAAGGTCAAAGCACCAGGTCCATGATAGAACATTTCAGGGATTAAAGCCGAACCAGATAAAGACTAAAACAACCTTGTAGGGCCAGGCACGGTGGCTCACGCCTGTAATCTCAGCAATCTAGGAGGCTGTGGTGGAAAGGTCGCTGAGCTCACAGGTTGGAGACCAGCCAGAGTAAGAGCAAGACCCCAGCTCTAAAAATAACCGGGTGTCATGGCTGGTGTCTGTAGTCCCAGCTACTTGGGAGGCCGAGGCAAGAGAATCACTTAAACCCAAGAGTTTGAGGTTGCTGTGAGCTGTGATGTCTCAGCAGTCTACTGAGGGCAAAAGAGTGACATTCTGTCTCAAAAATAAATAAATAGGGCAGTGCCTGTGGCTCAGTGGGTAGGGCGCCAGTCCCATATACTGAGGGTGGCAGGTTCAAACCCGGCCCTGGCCAAAATGCAACAACAACAAAAAAAAGCTGGGAGTTCTGGCAGGCACCTGTGGTGCCAGCTACTTGGGAGGTTGAGGCAAGAGAATCGCCTAAGCCCAAGAGCTAGAGGTTGCTGTGAGCTATGATGCCAAAGCACTCTACAGATGGCAACAAAGTGAGACTGTCTCAAAAAATAATAAATAAATAAATAATAAAAAATTTAAAAAATCGTATCTATGGACTTGCAGAGAGGAAAGCCACAAAAATGGTTGGAATGGTGAGATGGACCAGAGGGAGGAGAAAAGCTCTTCTGTAAATGCACAGGTCCAGCTAAAAGATCCTGAGGTGGATCTAAGAGTGGCAGGGATTTGGAATGGCTGCTGGTTCTGAGATGAGATTAGGGGATGTAGGGGTTACCTGGAGATTGAGTGTTACTATGAGTGTTATCACCAGGGTGGCTTAAAAAGTGGGCATCTCCAACAATAAGTGATGACATTTAATAAAATGGAAATAGCAAAGCAAATCTAGATCATCATTGGTAAGAAAGCTGTGATTTCTCCAACCGAGTGTCATAATGGCATTTTACAACTATAGGTTAGCCCCGAGAGAAATAACGTTTTGCATCTGGCTTTATCTGTCTCTTCCCTTGCAGACAGATTAATGACAGGGCTGTTTCACTGTTTAGTCCAAACTGATTTTCACCCTTTCACAGAAGAGGGAAGCAAATGTCCCCATGCTCAGAAAAACAAAAATTACATGTCATGAACAAAAAGGAAACGTAAGCTCATCTTGACGCTGACTTTTATATATGCAAAAGCAATCATTTCTTCCTCTCTCTTCCACTTCCTAAAGATCGGCAGGATGGGGTAAGGGGATGACAAAATCTCGAGACATCAGGCCTTTCTTAGAGCCCAGCCTGGCTGACACAGGACACACTCCCGCTATCACACTTGGCTGTCTCCATTTACCACACATAATCCGGCGGAACAAAACGGGAGAGCCTGGAATAAAGCTGACGGTTCCCGGGATCAGAGAAAAAGGCCAGAGTGCACAAGGACCAGGCTGGAGTCTGTCTCTGAGTTAACCTCAGTTTCCTCGCGAGGGAGCTCGGACAAAGCGGTGGTTCTGAGGGCTGCAGTTGTTCTCAGGGCTGCTGCATCTTTTTGTTTGGGAGCCTTCCCTCTGGGGTTCATACATCTAACTCGGAGCCATTCCGGGCCGCTGGACCTGTGAAGCTCCGAAGCAGAAGAGCAGAGGACGCAGCAGGGCACCCTGTGCCCAGTCAGCGTCACAAACTCCGCAGTCACTGCGACTCGACTCACACAGAGGTCTGCGCCGCCCCCGCGCCGCCCCCGCGCCCATTTCCTTAGTACACGCGACCAACTCACCTCTCGTAGCCGACACCAGCGAGGAAGCCGGAAAGAAACTCCGCCCGGAGGCCTGTGGGAAATGTAGTCCGCGGCCGGGAGGGCCGTGCCCCCCACCTCGACGGGCAGCGCGGAGTGCGCAGGCGCAAACTCTGGGAGCGCGCGACCGCTGCGGAGCTCCGGGCTCGGGGTCAGTGGGCGGGAGGGGTTTCGGGGCCGCAGGGGCTGGACGCGGCGCGCCTCTGAAGCTGGGGCTTGTTTGTCGCTGAGGCGGTCCTACCAAGGCTTAGAAAGAAGGCTAGGCACTGGCAGACATCTGATGTACCAAGCTCACAGCAGGTGCTTAGTGCACACACCCAAGTAGAGTGTGACCCAATGAGGCACTCAATAAAATACCTCTAGGAATCCGGAGCGGGACCTAGGTCGCTGGTCTTCGCTAGCGCTCGCGCTCTCTTCATCCCTTCCTCACTTCCTGTCTTTCTGTCTGCTTTTTTCTTTCTCTATCCCGCAGTTAGGAACGTATTCTATAAATGTCTATTAGGTTAAGAAGGTTCATGCTGTCATTAGATATTCATTATCCTTTCCGACTTTAGTAATCTAGTTCTACGCGTATTTTTGAGAGAGGTGCCTATTTCCCGTTCAATTCCATCAGGTTTTGTTTCAGTATTTTCAAGCTCTGTTAAGCGCATACATTTATAATTGTTGTGTTATCTTGTAGAGGACTGAAAAGTGAACATTAGGGGAAATGTCTTGAGAGGTCCTTCCCAGATGAATTATCATTGAATTTGTGCTGGTCTGCGTCGTTCAGGAAAGAAATGAGGTAAGCCCACCAGGACTCTTTGATATATTAGTTAATAGATGGAAGAATTGGGTCTTGAAAATGTAAAACTTTAGAAGGTATTTGAAAATGTCTAAGCCAGTTTTAACTCTCATATTGCAAAGAACAGGATACGTATGAAGTAGGATAAAGGCAAAATCTAGGCTACTTTGTTCACTTATTTTGAGACAGTGTCTCTGTAGCCCTGGGCAGAGTGCCCACTGCAGCCTAGCTCTCGGTAACTTCAAACTCCTGTCCTCAAGCGATCCTCCTGCCTCAGCCTTCTGAGTACTGGAACCACAGGTGCCTGCCACAACCCTCAGCTCATTTTCCTATTATTATTTATTTATTTATTTGGCAGACACAACAACACTTTTAATGCCCAAGAGCTGGTCTGGTCTGTGGCAGGATGGCATATCACCAGGGGTACAGAAGGGAAGGGCAAAGCCAGCCCCTGGCAAGAGCAGAGTACTTCTGACTTGGCTGCTGGAGGCAGCAAGCCTGGGGCTGGAGACTCATTTTTTTATTTTTAGTAGAGACAAGTCTCACTCTGGCTCAGGCTGTTCTCCTACTCCTGAGCTCAAGAGATCTTCCTGCCTCCGACCTCCCAGAGTGCTGAGATCACAGGCGTGAGCCACCATGCCAGCCTTTTATTGGCTATTTCTATGTACCTTTTTTGAAGTGCCTACGCGCATATTATCCCTGTTTCTTTTTTGGTTGTCTGTCACATATTGATCTCTAGAAGTTCTTTATATGCTCTGGATGAGTCATTATTTAAATACATATATTGTGATATATATTGTGAATATACTCCTCTACTTTGTGTCTTGTATTTTCACTTTGTTTTTTTTTTTTTTTTTTTTTTTTTTTGAGACGGAGCCTCAAGCTGTCCCCCTGGGTAGAGTGCCATGGCCTCACACTCACAGCAACCTCCAACTCCTGGGCTCAAGCGAGTCTCCTACCTCAGCCTCCCAAGCAGCTGGGACCACAGGCGCCCGCCACAACGCCCGGCCATTTTTTGGTTGCAGCCATCATTGTTGTTTGGCGGGCCCGGGCTGGGGATTCGAACCCACCACCTCAGGTGTACGTGGCTGATGCCTTGGCCGCTTGAGCCACAGGCGCCGAGCCTTCACTTTGTTTTTGTTTGTTTTTTGAGACAGATTTTCACTTTGTCACCCTTGGTAGAGTGCTGCGGCATCACAGCTCACAGCAACTTCAAACTCTTGGGCTCAAGTGATCCTCTTGCCTCAGCCTCCCAAGTAGCTGGGACTATAGGCACCCAACACAAGGCCTAGCTGTTTTTAGAGATGGGGTCTCACTCTTGCTCAGGCTGAACTCCTGAGCTCAGGCAATCCACCCAAATTGTCCTCCCAGAGTGCTAGGATTATAGGCTGAGCCATGGTGCCCAACCTTGAAAATGGATTCTTAATTTAATATGGTAAAATTTACCATTTTTGTGAGCTTAAATTTTTGCTACCCTAATGCAGGAAAGATATTTTACATTTTCTTCTAAAGCCTTTGTTTTACTTTTTACAATTAGATCACGAATGTATCTGGAATTGATTTATGTACAGTGTGTGGTAAGGGGCAAGGCTAATTTTTTTTTTTATCAATATGGATACCCAACTTACCCAGTGCGCAAAGCCTATCATTTCCCAACCACACTGCCAGGAACCTTTATCACAAATTAGATGACCACAAGGGTGTATTTCATAGCTCTTTATTTTGTCTCACTGGTCCATTTGTTCATTTTTGCACTAATACCATACTGCTTTAATGACTACAGTACAACATATCACATTAACAAATTCAATGAGGAAAAACATATCAATGTGCCAAAATAGCATCTGATAATATTCAGCAGGCATTTCTAATAAAAAGTTAAATAGGGTCTGAAAGAAATACTTAGCTATGACAAAGTCTATTTACCTCAAACCTGGAGTAAACATTATATCAAGTAAGTGCCATTAAATTAGAGAAAATGACTAGGTGCCTGCTGTCACTGCTAGTATCAAACCTTATTCTGGAGATTCTATTACAATGAGAATAATAACCATAGTCAGGAAAAAAACAAAACTATATCTATTTTCAGTTGACCTACCTGATTTCCTAGAAAACCAAGAGTCTAGTAAAAAATAAAAAGATAATTGGATAATAATAAAATATTTCGTATGGATACGATTGCTTCCATATTTAAAATTTTAATACAGTAATATCAGAATAAATACAGATTTATGGGAGAAGATAAGTCCATTGTTTATAATAGGTAAATGGACTACTATCTAGAATTTTATTTTTAAGAATCTCACAATTTTTACATAATTTTTTTTAAAGGAATAGGAGCAAAGACATGAATTGGGAAGTTACAATGTTTAGCCAATAAATACATGTGAAAAGATGCTCAATACACTATTAACCAGGAGAATATTAGTACACATACCAGATGTCTGGATATAAATAAAAAATATTTCATAGCTGGGCGTTGTGGCAGGTGCCTGTAGTCCCAGCTCCTCGGGAGGCTGAGACAAGAGAATCACTTGAGCCCAAGAGTTAGAGGTTGCTGTGAGCTATGAGGCCATAGCACTCTACCAAGGGTGACAAAGTGAGACTCTGTCTTCAAAAATAAAAAAAAAAAAAAAGTAAATATAAACTGTGACTGAGCAATCCTACTTTTTGATAAATACCTACAGGAGTGTCCAAACTTTTAGCTTCTTTGTGCCATATTGAAAGAAGAGTTGTCTTGGGCCACACATTAAATACATAGACACTAACAAAAGTTGATGGGAAACAACAACAAAAAAAGATTTGTGCATAATTTTCATGATATTTGCCACTATAGATAAGCAAAAAAGTCCTCACAAAATCCATGTGCAGCTTGTAGGCCCCAGGTTAAACATACCTGCCTTAGAGAAATTCTTGCTTATGTATGACAGTAAACACACAGATACTCAATAGGGCATTTTTCACAGTGAAAAACTATTATAACCTGTCCTAAATATTGATCAATAAAAAGTTCAAATACATCTAGTGTATGTATAAAAGATAGGGCTACTGTGTTTTATATTCTATGGAAAAGTACCATTTTAAATTCAAAAAAAGCAAGCAGCTGGTTACAAAGCACGATGTGAGTTGCTTTCCTCACCATACAAGTAACTGTTACCTGCCATAGGTTTGACATTTCCATCTTTGAAGTCCTTTAGATTATGTCAAAATCTCCCAAAATAGAATCACATCTCTCATAGGTATTGGGGATGGGAGTTCTATAGTGAAGTCTACGATACACTGGGTTAGATAAAATGCAACATTTTCTGTTAGTCTTTTAATGGGCACTTAATGTGATTTCTGACCCCCCAAGAAATATAGTATACGGAGCTCCCGTGCTTGTTTGCCAGAATCATTTCCTTCAAGTACCATTAAGTACTAGTGTTGTGTGGAACATACTCTCAGAAATTTTGAGTAAGACCTCAGTTAACATGAAAATGTTGACTTGAGAGGAGAAACACAATTGACCTACTAGCAAAAACTGATTTTATGGCTTGGCGCCTATAGCTTAGTGAGTAGGGCACGGCCACATACACTGAAGCTGGTGGGTTTGAGCTCAGCCCAGACCTGCTAAACAACAATGACAACTGCAAACAAAAAATAGCTGGGTGTTGTGGAGAGCACCTGTTGTCCCAGTTACTTGGGAGGCTGAGGCAAGAGAATTGCTTAAAGCCCAAGAGTTGGAGGTTGCCCTGAGCTGGGATGCTACGGCACTCTACCCAGGGCGACAGTGAGACTCTGTCTCAAAAAAGATTTTATTATAGCACTTAAAATACTCTTCTTTGTGTTACATTTTACTGTTTACAAATTAAAACAATTTGTAATCCTGAGGGGGAAAGATGACTTACCCAGATGATTAATAATTAACTGTTGACATCTGCCCAATCTGAGCAAAATGGACTTGGAGGTACAAATCGTAATGTATGACTACAATGGCATTACAGAGGTCTGTTTAAAAATGAGAGTTTAAAAAATAAATAAGTAAAAGTGAGAGTTTTGTTGGCAGTACTCATTTTTATTTTATGGAAGGTGCTATGGTTTGAATGTATCCTACAAAGTTCACGCCCAAGTTTTTGAGAAATCTTTTGTTTCTATTGTACTGGGGTACAACAGAGTCTTGTTGGCAGTACTTATTTTTATTTTATTGAAGGTGCTATGGTTTGAATGTATCCTACAAAGTTCACGCCCAAGTTTTTGAG